CCCCGATCCAGCAAACGCAGTCTTCAATAAGCCAGCCAGTAAGTTAGGGATCAGTAAGCCAGAGAGAGCCTTGCTGCTTATATAGTACTTTTACAGCTGCACCCTTAATTACATTCCTTTAGCTTAAAGTCACATACACTTTATCTGACAAACCATGATTCATCATTTTATTATCTTTACCCAAAACAGTTAGGGTAAAACAATGTTATCCCTAACAGAGAGCCTAGGCTTTCTCCTTGCAACAGAAAAGCGGCGTTCGAGGGTGGGTGAGTGGGGGGAAATCGCGGTACGGCTCACACGGAGCAAGTAAAAGCAAGCCGCTGCGAAAACGGAGCAATAGAAGCAAGCGACAGCGACTAAAAGGCAGAGAGAGAGGGATTCAGGCTATGGGAGGTAGTGCGAGGATCGCTACTGACCCTCCCTTCGCCTCCCCTGGGGGCGAAAACTGCGCTTTCCCTTAATGGCAAGATTGCCAATTCAAGCAATTGCGCAGGGCTAAGGAGAGAAATAAATCAAACCTGGAAGTAAAGCTGATCTAGAGCTGATTAGGATCAAAAATTTCCTGCTTCGGCCAAGGAGCAACGAACAGAACAGCCTGTCTTGCACGAGGCTGAGCAAAAACTGGGGAACGCCCTGCAAGAGTCACGTGGAAGGGGAGGAGCGTTCCTCAGTTCAAGCTCAGCCTAAGCAAGCAGAGACTGAAGCACCTCCCATCACTGGATGCTCCGAGCAGCTCATAGGAGAACCTAAGATTTATTCGGAAACCCCAGAATGGCTCTCAACGATGGAAGCCTTTACATACCCAAATCTGATGAAGTTCGAAAAAATTGTGACATATAAAGATATATTGGACACTGAAGGGAAATTAAAATCTAAGCAAGAGCTTGAGGACCAGGGCATTATATTATCATGGTCGCCTCAATTGTAAATACAATCTAGGTATCTAGACATGAAAAAGTATGGCTTTTATAAAGGACAGTCTTTGATCAATTATTGTTGAACTCTGATGAAAAAATAATTAAGAAATTATATAATTTTTTCCTAAATTGGAAAATGGAGGATGAACGAGTTAAAAATACAATGACACAGTGGGGAAAAAAACTTTGGTTATAATATAGAAGTAGAGAAATGGCAAAACCTATGGGAAAGGAACTATAAATGGAGAATAGAATAGAACAGAACAGAACAGAACAGAACAGAACAGAACAGAACAGAACAGAATAGAATAGAATAGAATAGAATAGAATAGAATAGAATAGAATAGAATAGAATAGAA